TTTCTGCTTGTTTTCTTATTTACTGAGGATGGGAGCTCTGGTGATGTAATGCCTAAGGCATTTGACTCCTAAGCAGAAGGCTGGCAGTTCAAACCCACCAGCCACTCCTTGGAAGGAAGACTGGGCAATCTACTTACATAGAGATACCACCTCAGAAACCCAAGGAGGGGCTGCTATGATTTGGAATCGACTCAACTGCAGTTGAGTTTGGTTTGGTTTTGGCTTGGTGTATTGGAGTCTCCCAGTTAGATAAGCCAATTGAGATGAAAGAGGAGGTCCTGAGAGTGTGATGAGTAGGAAGTAGACTAAGAAAAAGTGATAGTTAATGAGATCTGCATTAGAAAGAATTGACATTTGGAGGAAGGTGTGGGAAACACAGAATATAAGAGGCTGATTGTTAACTACATGGTGTGGAGGGGACAGAAGATTGGTAAAATCAAGGGATATCTAATTATCCTATTTGAAGATGTTTTGAGTTTCTATCCTGTAAGCCCTTATCTTTTCAAACCTTCAAGAAAATTTGCTACCCATTAAAATACATGGTGAGAGTGCCTTGTTTTATATTGTTTGCTTTGTAGAAGTCAAGGAAAGAACTGAGTTCTATGTTCGGGTTATTTGGTGTGGAACAGAGGCAGCACTTGCTGCTCGGTGAAGATCTGCCTCCCTAGAACTTGGAAAATACTGAGCACCATCGGAGAATGAAGCTGAGGCAAACACATTAATGGCCATGGCAAGCTGACTTGCCCACCCTTTCTGTAACTGTCACCACCCTAGTTGGAAACAGATGAGCAGACGTGAAAATTCATTTCCTTAAAGTTGTTTTTCAGAAACTCAGCTGAGACCAACTTGAAATCGGTTAAAACAAGTTCAGTTTTGGCCTGCGGACATTCACATTGGGAGAAACTGAACAAAGTAGCTTGGAGCTAACATTCCACCCACCCCCAAGCCCTCGTCAGCTGATTACAGGAAGTTGATATAACTCACTTGGCACACAAGCGTACTGCATTAAAAATTGACTGTCCCTTTCAACCGAGGTGAACGAAACTTCAGCCAATCCAGCCAATTCATGCCCACATTCCTAGAATTTATAGGATTATGTATACTCTCCCTTTTCTTGAACGCTATAAAAATTGTACTCTAACCCCCACTGGAGGAGTCAGATTTGGGCCCAGCCCCTGTCTCCTACCCTGCGCACAGTAATAAATCTTTCTTTTTCATCAAAACCTGGTGTGTCCTGTCTCCTGGCCTTTACAGTGCACCAGGCAGGGATCCACTTTGGTTCAGGTTCAAGATCCAGACACTGGCTAGGGACATTAAATATATGCTTTCCTTCCTTTTACCTTGCGTCGTAGCATAATTCAAGCATCAGAAAGGAGACAGACTATCTATGAACTATCTATGAAATATGACAGTGAAGGAGAACAGTGAGAGAGGTGATCACAAAAATGCAGCTCTTACCACCTCCTTCTCCTATCGCAATCCACACAAACTTTGGGGAGGACACTGTGTTTTGAAGGGAGCCCTCTTATCTGGAGCTGAAGGGCAAAGAGACTGCAGTTGGCATCGGGGTAACCTAACCTTGCAGCATTGTTGTCAGGAGATAAGGTTGGTAAAGGACCTGGCTCAATAAAGTCAATAATCAGTAGCTAACACTCAAGACATTTTTGTATCTTTTTGCCCAAACTTGGTGTTTAGGATGCAGAGAAATAGTCAATGTCTTTTTCAGTTAAGTGAAACCTTTCCCCACCACCAGCTGCTGGACTGGGTACTGTTAGAGTACTGTTGCTGTTGTTGTTATGTGTCATCGAGTCAGACCTGACTCATAGTGACCTCTCCTTGGGTTTCCAAGGCAGTATCACCATGGAAGTAGATTGTCCAACCTTCCTTCTGAGGAGTGGCTGGTGGATTTTGAACTGCCAGTCTTCTGGTTAGCAGTCAAGTGCCTTAGGCACTATGCTACCAGAGTTCCTTGGACACAGTACTATGGATATTAAAAATAAATTTCCCAGTTGCCATCAAGTTGATTCTGACTCATGGTAACCTTACATAATAGAACGAAACTGTCCCATGGGGTTTTTGAGGCTATAATCTTTATGGAAGTAGATCACTAGGCCTTTCTCCTGACCCCTGGGTAGACTCAAACCACCAACCTTTCAGCTAGCAGCTGAGCATATCAGCCATTTGCTCCACTCTACTATGGATATGCTGTAGTTGTTGTGTGCCATCGAGTTGGTTCTGACTCATAGTGACCTTATAAGACAGTGTAAACTGCTCCAAACAGTCTCCCCAGCTATAATCTTTATGGAGCCAGATCGTTAGGTCTCTTCTCCTGCAGAGCCATTGGGAGTTCAAATTACTGACTTTTCAGCTAGCAACCAAGTGCTTAACCACTGAGCCACCAGGGCTCCTGCACTATGGATGTTGTTGTTGTCATGTGCCATCGAGTCTGACCCGACTCATAGTGACCCCTCCTTGGGTTTCCAAGGCAGTATAACTATGGAAGAAGATTGCCCAACCTTCCTTCTGAGGAGTGGCTGGTGGGTTTGAACCGCCAGCCTTCTGGTTAGCAGTCAAGGGCCTTCCTTAGGCACTACGCTACCAGAGCTCCTCCACCATGGATATACTAGACATCAAACAAATGTTTGTTGTTATCAGGTTCTTAAAGTTCTAAAACAAGAAGTTTCAAGAGCTGTATTATGTATCGATTGATGCATAACAAATTATCCCAATATATACCAAAAACAAAACCAAACTCATTGCTGTCGAGTTGATTCCAACTCCTAGTGACATTACAGGACAGAGTGTAACTGCCCAATAGGGTTTTCAAGGCTATAAATCTTTAAGGAAGTAGACTGCCACATCTTTCTCTCCCAGAGCATCTGGTGGGTTCAAACAGCCAACCTTTCAATTAGCAGCAGAGCACTTACTTAACTACTGCATCACCAGGACTCATCTTTCCAATAAATAAATACACATAAACAAAAAGTAACTATCTCATAGCTTCTGTGGGTTCGAATTTGGGAACAGCTAAGCTAGATGATTGGGGTTGAGGATCTCCAATGAAGTCACAGTCAAGATGTCATTTGGAGCTGAAGTCATCTGAAGATTGACTGGAACCAGAGGTTCCACACCTTAGATGGCTCACTTACATGATTGTTGGTAAGTGGTCTCAATTCCTCCCCATAGAAACCTCTTCACAGGGCTGCTCACAATATGGCAACTGGCTTCTCCTAGATCCAAGACATCAAGACCAAGATGGAAGCCACAATATCCTTTATAACCTAGGATTGGAAGTCATACACTATCTCTTTAATTTTATTCTCTTCATTAGAAATAAATCACTAAGTCCAATCCACACTCAAAGAGAGGTGTATTACTGTCAGCCACTTGGAAGGGATGTAGGAGATCCTGCATAGAGAGGGAGAACAATGTGGAACAAAACTCAAAATCATTTGGAGGGAAAAAAAAAAAAAGATGGTTGGGACCAGGTTTGCTGGTCCAATAGAGCCTGGTGGAACCACTGAGACTATGGCCCCTAGCTGCCCTTCAGGTCTGGAATTGAACACACACCTGTGGTTTCCAGCCAAACAAAATACAGGCATGTGAGTTAAACATTTACCTCAAGTAGACACACGCCCTGGAGAGAAAAATCATGGGAGAAGGAAGGGCTGCTTATGTACAGGGAGAAAGCTCAGGGGGCAGGAGAGTATGGAGGGATGGACACTGGGAAGTGGTAACTATGGGAAGGAAGTGGGAGGGGAGCTGTTACATTGTGGTAAACTGTGGTCAATGACATGAGACAAAGTATATGTGAACTGCTGTATGGAAAGTGAATTTGCTCTGTAAATCTTCACCCAAATCACAATTAAAAAAAAAAAAAAAAGAGAGAGGTGTATTAGGTATCCCCTTTTGAAGCACGTGTCAAATAATTTGTAGCCATATCTTTAAAAACACTACAGGGACACTGTATTTTATATATGGCAGTGTGCTCAATACATTTTTATTAAATAAACCCAAGGAATTCTCTTAGATTGAGACAAAAATCCTTTGGAAATAATCTTTCTTCTAATTCTTATCCCTGGCCCCAAAGCCAAAACAACATTCAGGGACCTTTCTAGTCCTAAGATCTAGTATGCCTACATGAATATCATTCAAATCATTATTCCCTGTGAATAGAGACTGTGTTATTAAGCTGAATTTTCCTATTACCTTCCTGTTTAGTTTAGGGAAGAAAATTTAATTCATGAAACCCTTCTGGTGTTGAAGTGTGCTCACCGAGAGCCTAGTGGCTGATGGATTGGAAGCATCAACACAGTGCATCATATACTGCCAAAGAGTGGTGGGAGAAAAGACAGATGATACTTCACAACTCAGGGAAGGCTAGCGATGGAGAGGCTGTTGATTATGATTAGTCAGCAGTAGTCATGTACATATTATTTTTCTAACAATTAGACTTACTTGTGAAACTTTTTTCCCCTGCTTTGCCCCAAGAAAGATTTTAAGACTTCTTGAATTTTGTTAAATAGTTCTTTTAGCTCATCAATAAATCAATCCCCCCCCCCTTTTTTAAATCCTGGAAAAGACTGACATTTTACTAAGTTTCTGTTAAAATGAATGAAAAATTTGGAAACTTGTGGCACAACATGGTGAATGTAATTAATGTCACTGAATCTTCCATGTAAACATGGTTGGAATGGTAAATAGTTTGTTATGTACATTTCACTACAATAAAACAATTGAAAAAAGACATTTTTATTATTTTATCTTTAATAGTATATCTTTTTTATATTACCTCCCATTCCACAGTTTAATCAAAAATTTAAAAATAACTAAGAGAAATGCTTTTATTAAGTAATATTTTATAAATTGATAGAATTTTCCATTGCATGGATACCATACTTTTTAAAAGTTGAGGTTTTCTGCATGTTTTTTTTTTCCTCCCACTTTCTTTATTTTCTTCCTTACACTTGCCAAGATAAGGACGTCCTGTTTTAAATAGTTCATAAAAAGTATTTGGGAGTACTCATATGGAAATGATGGTTGTTCTCATGATTGTGGCCTTCTTTGTAGGATCCAAATCTAAAAAAAAAAAAAAAAAAAAAAAGCAACTGGCATGTAAAAACCATTTAAAAAGGTATGCTCTATGTAAAAATTCAATCATAATCCATTGTGGTTTTATTCACTTCTCCTAAAACAAGAGGCATATGATCAATTTATTAAACAGAAAATGAAGAAATTAAAAAGGACTCATGGGTATGAAAAGGCAGACAAAAACATTACCCTCCCAAAATCTTCTTTCCATGATTATGGATCATTCCAAAAGCACAACTGTTGAAGAATTGTTGACTGATGACACTGCAGAAATACAAGTCTGGATTTTCTCTCTAGCCCTCGGTTTGAATAGCATCCATTTCTCTGACGAACTAGATGTGAAACCTGAAACGTTACTCATGTTGCTTTTGTGTATGTAAAATGTACTTGAGCATAACTTCTAAATCTTCTACAAGTGCTGACATGCTGCAGATTAGCTATTTACTTTGCTCATGAATAACTAATTAATTATATAGGTCTGATTGCTATGATGAAATACCAAAGACATTGGAAAACAAGCTAAGACCTGAGCAAAGGAGGCAACTGCCTTCCTTTTCTCATCAGTAATATTCAAATAACTTCTATAATGTAGGAGATGGAAAATCTGTCTACTTTGTCATCTCAAAATGATAATGATATGGAATATTAAAATTCTGCATAACATTTGACATGCTGTTTACATCTACAACTGGTTCCTAAGGAAGTAACCAAGGATATGCCCAAAGATGTAATAATGAGTCGTCCCTGGAAGAGTTTTAAAATAATGAAACAGTAAATGTGCAAAAACACCTAAATTGGTTAGCTAAATTCTGAGACATCTATACAATGGAATGATAAACAATCATTAAAAATGATTTTAAGAGAATACTGTATTGTGGAAGGAAGCTTATAAAACACTATTGAATGGGAAAAATCAGATTAACAAATTCTGTATACACATACACACATAACACACACATACACATATATATGTATACATACATATGTTATACACTTATAGATCACTGGGATCATTATATGTTATATAAATATATGTGCATATAAATAGCAAAGATACACCCCAAAATATTACCAGTGATAACCTTTGTATTGCTTATCTCCCCACCAGAATATGATCTCCATAAGGATAGAGACTTTGTTTTATGCAGCACTCTGTTCTGAGTATCTATCTAGAACAAACCCAGCACAGTGTTAACTAACTAGGTGGTTGTTGTTGTTAGGTGTCATCATATCAGCTCTGACTCATAACAGCTCTATTTGCAACAGAAGGAAACACTGCCCAGTCCTGTGCCATCCTCATAACCCTTGTTATGCTTGAGCCCACAGTTACAACCACTGTGTCAATCCATCTCATGAAGGGTCTTCTACTTTTTAGCTGACCCTCTATTTTACCAAGCATCATGTACAGCTCCAAGGACGGGTCTCTTCTGACAACATGACCAAAGCACATGAAAGAAATTCTGGTCATTTCTGCATCTAAGGAACATTCCAGCTGTGCTTCTTCCAGGACAGATTTGTTCATTCTTCTGGCAGTCCACGGTATTTTCAGTTTTCTTTGCAAACATGACAATTTAAAGGCATCAACCCTTCTTCTGTCATCCTTATTCATTGTCCATCTTTCATGTGCATATAAGACCATTGAATACACCAAGGCTCGGGTAAGGAGCACCTTACTCTTCAAAGTGACATCTTTGCTCTTTTAAACACTTTCAAGAGGTCCCTTGCAGTAGATTTGCCCAGTGCAATGCAACATCTTATTTCTTGACTGCTGCTTCCATGGGTGATGATTGTGGAGCCAAGCAATATTAAATCCCTGACAATTGTAATCTTTTCTTCATCTATCATGATGTTGCTTATTGGCTCAGTTGTGAGGATTTTTGTTTCTTTATGTTGAAGTGTAACCCACACTGAAGACTGCAGTCTTTGATCTTCATCAGTAAGTGCTTCAAGTAAGTCATCTTCACTTTCAGCAAGAAACGTTGTGTCATCTGCATATCACAGGTGGTTAGTGAATCTTCCTCCAATCCTGATGCCACAGTCTACTTCATATAGTCCAGCCTTCTCAGATTTGCTCAGCATAAGTATAATGAAAGAATTATTCTTTGCTCAGCGTAAGAATAAGTACGGTGAAAGGATACAACCCTGACACACACCCTTCTTGAATTTAAACCATGCAGTATCCCTTTGTTTTGCTCAAACAACAGCCTTTTGGTCTATGTACAGGTTCCTCATGAGTACAATTAAGTGCTCTGGAATTCCCATTCTTCTCAATGTCACCCATAATTTGTTATGATCCACACAGTCAAATGCTTTTGCATAGTCAGACAGGTAAACACCTTTCTGGTATTCTTTGCTTTCAGCCAAGATCCATCTGGCATCAGCAATGAAATCCCTCATTCTAGGTCTTCTTCTGAATCCAGCTTGAATTTCTGGAAGTTCCCTGTCAATGCACAGCTGCAATTTTTTTTTTAATTATCTTCAGCAAAATTTCACTTGCATATGGTATTAATGATAATATTTGATAATTTCCACATTCTGTTGGATCAGCTTTCTTTGGAATGGCTACAAATATCGATCTCTTCTAGTTGGCTGACCAGGTAGCTGTCTTCTAAATTCCTCGGCATAAAAAAGTAAGTGCCTCCAGTGCTGCATCAATGTTTGTTGAAACATTTCCATGCATATTCCATCAATTTTTGGTGCTTTCACCAATTCCTTCAGTGCAGCTTGGACTTCTTCCTTCAGTAGCACTAGTTTTTGATTGTTTGCTAACCAGAAGGCTGGCAGTTCAAACCCACCAGCCAGTCCTCGGAAGGAATGTTGGGCAATCTACTTCCGCAGTGATTCCGCCTCAGAAACCCAAGGGGGATCACTATGAGTCAGATCTGATTTGATGGCAGTGAGTTTGTTTTTTTTTTTTTTTTTTTGTAATGGATGCCAGTCAACCAATTCATTTTGGTCTTGTGACTGTGTATTTCTTCCATCTTCTTTTGGTGCTTCCTACATTCGTTCAATATTTTGCCCACAGGATCCTTCAGTATTACAATTCAGGGCTTGAGTTTTTTCTTCAATTCTTTCAGCTTGAGAAATGCCAAGCATGTTCTTCCCTTTCAGTTTTCTAACTCCATGTCTCTGAACATTTCATTATAATACATTACTTTGTCTTCTCAAGCCACCCTTTGCAATCATCTGTTCAGCTCTTTTATTTAATTATTTCTTCCATTCACTTTAGCTACTTTATGTTCAAAAGCAAGTTTAAGAGTCTTTTATGACATCCTTTTTGGTCTTTTCTTCCTTTCTTGTCTTTTAAATTCTTGCTTTATTTTAAACGCTTTTCCTTTGCTTTCTTCACACTTGATATTTTCCCACAACTCATCTGGTCTTCAATCATTGGTGTTCAATGCCTCAAATCTCTTCTTCAGATGGTCTCTAAATTCTGATGTGACACAATAAAGCTTGTGTTTTAGCTCTTGTGGACTTCTTTTAATTTTCTTCAGCTTCAAGTTGAACTTGCATATGAGCAATTGATGGTCTGTTCCACAGTCAGCTTCTGGTCTTATTTTTGATGATATTGAGCTTTTCCATCACCTCTTTCCACAGATGTAGTTGATTTGACTCCTGCATATTCCTTCTGGTGAGGTCCACACGTATAGTTGCAGTTTATGTTGTTGAACAAAGGCATTTTCAATGAATAAGTCACTGTTCTTAAAAAATTCTATCATGAAATCTATGGCATCATTTCTATTACCAAGGCCATATTTTTTGATGCTTCTTCATTTCCAACTTTCACATTTCAATCACCAGTAATTACCAATACACTTTGATTGCATGTTTGGTCAGTTTCAGTTTGCAAAAGTTGGTAAAAATCTTTCATTTCTTCATCTTTGGCTTTAGTGGTTGTTGCATAAATTCAAATAAAATAATATTTATTGTTTTTCCTTGTAAACATGTGGATATTATCCTATCACTGACAGCATTGTACTTCAGGATAGATCTTGAAATGTTCATTTTGACGATGAATGTGATGCCATTCCTTTTCAATTTGTCATTGCTAGCATAGTAGACCATATGATTGTCTGATTCAAAATGGCTAATATTAGTCTATTTCAGCTCACTAATGCATAGGCTATCAATCTTTTTATGTTCCATTTCATTTTTGACAACTTCCAATTTTCCTAGATTCATACTTCATACATTCCACATTCTGATTAAAAATGGATGTTTGCAGCTGGTTTTTCTCATTTTGAGTTATGCCACATCAGCAAATGAAGGTCCTGAAAGCTATATGCCATCTACATCATTAAGGTCTACTCTATTTTGAGGAAGCAGCTCTTCCGCAGTCATATTTTGAATGCCTTCCAACCTGAGGGGCTCGTCTTCTGGCACTACATCAGACAATGTTTCACTGCTTTTCATAATGTTTCCCAGTAATATGTCAGACAGTGTTTTACTACTTTTCATAATGTTTTCCAGTTATATATCAGACAGTGTTTCACTGGTATTCGTAACATTTTCAGTGGCCAATTTTTTCAGAGGTGGATGGCCCCATCCTTCTTCCCAGTCTTAGTCTGGAAGCTCTGCTGAAACCTGTCCACCATGAGTGACCCTGCTGGTATTTGAAATACTGGTGGCATAGCTTCCAGCCTCACAGCAACACTCAAGTCATCACAGTACGACACACTGCCAGATGAGTGGTGGGGTGGCATGGTAGTACTTGAATATGCACTGGATTAAGGAATTTAAAAAGATGGAATTTTTGGTAAATTAAGTTTCCTTTGCCTATTTCTACTTTATAAGTTTTTAAATGTGTGTATATCTTTTGGAATAAGAACACTTTATATTAAGGCAGGCTTCTAGTTATGGTTCCACTATATTCATATTTAAAGTGAATGGGAAAACAGATACCTAGCTCTGCTCACTGCTATTTGGAATTAATCTGCAGCTATGGTTAGCCAAAAATATTTTATTTGAATTTCTCCACACTCCTGGTA